TTTCTCGCGTTCTTTCTCTCACTTTCCAATGCTTTGTCTCGCTCGCACTCACTTGGTAGATGCGCCTGCGCATAATGACGCTCGACCATCTATGCTCATATTTGGACTTCGTGCGTCTCCCTTTCTCGGGCCTCGTGCCTCTCATTGCGAAGATACGCGACTAGCAATATAGGAGTATTACATATATGACGCTGAGATCACGCGAGCTAGCGGTCTAGTGTAGTATATAGAAGTCTGTGGTGGGATCTGAACTCGAGACTGAGACCTTCATATCAGAGATGCCAGTTTGTGGACTCAGTAAGCACGCAGCAGCAAGTAGAAGAGATACACACGCAGGCGAACAGCCTTATACGTGTGCGCTCGGCTTTTCGGCCAACGTCGAGCAGTAGAAGGAGACGGACACACATAACCGCTCTCTTTCTTTCTTTATAGCTATAGCTATAGCTAATACTGCCAGCCGCGAGAAGCATACCTAGTTGCTAGCCTGTTTCTCGTGCGTGGCTCGTATGTTCCTTCTCTCTTCCTCCTCTCCCTTTTTCTCTCATACTTACAAGGGTTGTGTTCCGATCTTCACTGCCAGTACTAGAAATCTATAGCACATGTGACGTGAAGTATAGATTTTTAGCACTGAATATCGGAACGACTAAACAACTCTGAAAGTTAAATGAATATATAAAACTATAAAATATTATATATACAAAAATAAAAATAAAATAAAATTTATATTGTTTCTAAGTAATTAACTCTTATTTTGATACTAAATAATCAATATATCAAATATATTGAAAATAAAAAATAATTAATGATTACAAAAAGCAACAATAACTTTTTATATAATAAATATTATATAAACATTAATATTATATAGACATTAAGTATTAATAAATTTCTTTCTTTTAACTATGTTATATTAAAAACTACTGAATATTAAGGATATCACAAACACCAAATCCATAAAATGTAAGTATTTTTGTATCGTTTATTACAACAAAACATTTATCCGTCATGAAATACTTTGGCAACAAACACTGCGCTTTCATACATAAAGAAAAACAATATAAATAACAATATAAATAACAATGTATATAATAGTACACGTAAAAGTATAAATGTGTACAAAATAAATAAAAAACTATAAGAAAATAAAGAAATATGTAAAATTAACAAATATATCTCACTTATATAACAATGAACAAATATTTAAGTGTCATATTTACACAAGTTTTATAATAACTGTTTTTAATCTCTTAAAACAGTTGTCACACTAATTGAACACACAAGTAATCGATTATTGATACGCATCTTCTTTTTGTTCTTAAACAAATTCTGTCCGGAGGGCAATTCTGAAGCAGTTCTACATCAAAGTAAAAATAAAAAAAATTTTAATTTAAAAATAAAAAGTCACGTCAAGCATTGACGAGTCACGAGCGCAAATACTTATAAATTGTAAGAAGTTGTACTCTGAGTAATACTTTGTGAGAAAAAATAAAGACATTTTTAAGAATTGTTGGTTGCGATTCTTACAGCTACTATATTGCCGAAAATAAATGACGAAGTGAAAAGTTTTCCATGAATTGACCTCATTTTGTTGACAACATAATGAGCAACAGTTGCTCTTCATTTACTCTGAATCTACGGACACGAAATGTTTCAACTTTGTCTTCGTGTTGTTGATTACGTATAATTATGCATTACGTTCTCAGCAAACACAAAGCAACTAGTCGAAAACTTCTGCTTAGCATTAAGTTACATGATTTTACAAAATATACTTGACTATCAGGGTACCTTCACACTGCAGCTATGTCAACATTTTTCAGACACTTTGTATATTACACAAATTTATCTTTAGATAGCTGTTTTTTTAGATAGAAGTTCCTTGGGATAAAAAAATGTTAACAATGTTTTGTATAAATAATCGTCTATTGCAAGAAATAAAATGCAGTTTATTGTTTTATATAGATCATATTTATACAATAATGATTATAAAGTTGGTAACAAAATGTAAGATGTTATTACATCATATCATATCTCCCAATTACAAATACGCATATATCTCAATCTAATAACAAAATAAACATAATGTGTTATTCTAATAACAATAAACACTCAATAAAGAAAAGGAAAAGAAATTTCATAAAAACACAAATATGTAAAATCTTATTGCAGACAGTTTTACCAAAGTACACATGTATTACAAGAGTATTAATTTATAATTTATATTTATGTATTAGAGTATAAGCAGAGCAATAAAAAAAAAAAAAAAAAAGAATACGGAAGTACATATAAGCACCAATCAGTTTAGCTATATATGCATACATATATGTATATAGAGTATAGCTGAATAAAATTACTTCACACAGTTTTAAAATTTGATAATTATATAAAATAACAATATATTATGATTTATTTATAAGTTTCTTAGATATAAAAACACAAAGAGAGGGAGGGAGGGAAAGAAGAAGCACAATATAAGAAAACACGAATTCTATATAGAGAGAATAAAAATTGTACACAGAATGCCTATATACAGGAGATAAATATCTATAAAGATACATATTTATATGATTTATGTTGTGTATAGAGATTGCTAATGTACATATCTGATCACTTAAAACTCTCTCTCTCTCTCTCTCTCTCTATATATATATATATATATATAGACACACACACACACACACGTACAATTTATTTAATAGTTAGATTTTGTAATCTGGAGCTTACAGCATGGGTAATTTGGTTCTTATCTACATCCACTATTCTTCCATTATTAGCTGGAGATAGACCTGATCTGGCACAAGCTTTCTTGTGCATAAACCAATGCAATCTCTGGCATTCTCTATCGCAGTACTGCACAGCTTTACATTTACTGCATTTTTTTGTAGCTTTATCCTCACCGCAAGTTATACAGATTTGGCCATTATCAGAGAAGCCTCTCTGCCCATTAATCGCAGCAGAAATTACAGAAATAGCAGATGGTGGATCTGTGCTGGTCAATGTAGCAACCATCTGGCGGAAAATAGTACTTTCTCTAAATGGAAATTCTCTCACTGATTCTCGGAGAAATGCCTCTTGATATTCTGGTAAACTATCGCTTTTGCTGCACTTGAGAAATCTTCTTATCAAAAGTTCTACAGCATCAGATTTTTTTTCTTCTCCCTCTTCATTTCCCTTCTCGCTTTTTTCCATTTTCATAGCCCCTTGTCGTTTCTGACATTTCAATACATCTGCCACAACACAACTTAGATAATGATACTTGAAAGCCATTACTTCATTTGTTTCAGCACCACGTGTCATTTCTCTGTAGCGCATAGATTCCAATACTTTTTGTATCTAAACAAATACCAATGACAATTCTAAATAAAAATAGAAATAAACTGTATATTGATAGTTTTTTCTCCAGAAAATAAAAAAATTAACAAGAAATATTAAATGCATATCTCACTTACTTTTGCTGCATTTTCTAAAAGAGCAGGAAATTTCTGCAAATTTATACACACACGTACAGGATTTACATTAACTTGCATGACGAATTTATGAAAACAATCTGCCAGATGCAGTGGCAGCAATGGTTCAGTTTGTAAACCTTGAGGCTTAATATAATAATCTATATCAGCTTTTGGAATAAAATTATTAATAGTTGCTACACAATTATGATTTCCTACAAAAGCTGCCATCTGAGCAGCTGTTCTACCAACACTATTTGTTGCTGTTAAGCGAGCTCCATGTGACATTAAAAGATGACATAATTCTGCATTTCCACTTAAAGCAGCAAAATGAAGAGCAGTATAAGCATGTTCATGTTGACATTCATTCACATCTGCACCCTACAAACAAAAATATGTTTACAATAATATATTGACATTTGTCATATATTGGGTGCTTTCCAGCTACGTAAATAGGCAACATTGTGTATTGGTATTGGGTATTAGTGCATATTGACTCAGTAGACCTTTTTCAGGTTAGTCCATACACCATTCTAGGAGTCTTTTTAAAGTTTATAAGTCAAGTCAAGACTCCAGATATCTGGGGTTTGTATTAATTGATTATTATTAGTTATGTTTGTCACAAGGAGGTTGTGCAGTATACTACTACCACGTAATAAACACGGCATTCTTTCACAGTGGATGTGCCCATCTGTGTCGGGCTCGTGTTCAAGATGTTGTGATTATGATCGCCTTGTGAGAGGGGAATTAATTCGGGAAAACACCTAAATTAATTTTTGGAGGCCCAATTTAGTTCGCCGATCAAGCAATAAACTCGGTAGAAAGGGACCGGCCCGGAAAAAATCCTTAGCTGGTGAACGGATTTGAACTCGGGACCTCCAGGTTCGCAGCCCTTGCACTCAGGCCGCGAGACCACTGAGTCGGTAGGCAACATTGTATAATATAGTGTCCACTGGTATGAGTAAAACACCCTGATATGCTTTCTCACACTGATAAACACTGTGTTACACAGTGTCACCTGTATATGTAACTGAAAAGCACCCATTGACAGTTCACAAGAAATTACTATCGCCCATTTTCACCATCTCTGATTAACTTAATTGGCAATTAAGTATCAGTCGTGATTAGTCCATTCTGCTAAACGATTAATGCGACTGGCAATTCCAATGGAATAATCGGCCGATTAAGTTAATCAGAGATAGAAACGTATATCTCTTTGACAAGTTACACTATATTTCAGTGAAAAACAAGCAAATGTATATTAAAACAAATTTACGCAATAGAACAGATTATGTACAAATCTACCGAAGAGAACTGCAGCTGTTAAAAAATATTTTTTAAATTCCAAGTAAAACTTTGTAGTGAGTCACAAAGCATTCTCTTCGTAAAATATATAACCTACTTGGTCGAGGAGCATCTGCACAATTTCTTTGTTTCCTTTGTAACAAGCATGTTGAAGCGGACTCATGCCATTTTCATCTACAAAATTTATCTTAATTTTATTCGTCGCCAATAAAGTTTTGAGTTCACACACTTCATTGTTACTGATTTTTGCAAAAATATCTTTCTGTAATTGTATGAGACCCTCCATAATAGGCGTCATGTTCTGTCATATCACAGTGGTTCTATTCAGTAGAACGCTGGTTTATAGTGTGTTCCGAAATATCTTCCGCTAACTATTTTCCTGATTAAAGTTGGTAACATTGGGCGCTTTCTAGAGCTGTGCATTTATCTATAGTACACGTGACGTATAGTATAGACAAATGCGCGTATATGCATGACGAAACCATAGACTTATATAATAGACGGAATATTCGTGTAAGAGGAGCTGAAGCTTTGTTAAAAGAGACAGAAATAGTCGTGGAGTAATTCTCTTCTTTTCTAGCAGTGAGTTGATTGGTGGCCGCGGCAGGCCGAGAGCAACGAAGATAGAGTTCGAGANTCAGTTGAGAGAAAGTGATAGTGAAACATATATGTAATACTCCTATATTGCTAGTACGGTGCCGACCTGAAGCTCACCGTTACGGTGCAGACAATATAGTAGCCTCTCTCTCCAGCTGCTTTGTGCGCATGCGGCGCATAATGACGCTCGACCATCTATGCCCATATTTGGACTTCGTGCGTCTCCCTTTCTCGGGCCTCGTACCTCTCATTGCAAAGATACGCGACTAGCAATATAAGAGTATTACATATATGGTGGAAACATAGACGTATAATATGTAGACTGCGCGTTCTCTACCTTTGCCATGTTAAGAAAATGTCTTCAACGTTGAGAGAGAGACAGCTAGTGTTGAATAGTAGCCTTATCTTTGTNCTCTCCAGCTGCTTTGTGCGCATGCGGCGCATAATGACGCTCGACCATCTATGCCCATATTTGGACTTCGTGCGTCTCCCTTTCTCGGGCCTCGTGCCTCTCATTGCAAAGATACGCGACTAGCAATATAGGAGTATTACATATATGTAGTGAAAGGCATGGAGATAAAGGAGGGAGCATTAAGAGATATTATAGGCGCGGGGAGTGAAGCCATGGTGCGGGGGGGATTTGACCTCTAAACAACCTTCAGCCATATTTATATGAGCCACTAGTGCTGCTATCTATTTGATGAGAGTGGTATTATTTCAACACATTGAGAGTAGTATTATTTGACGTTGATGCGTATTAATCTGTTAGTGACAGGAAGAAAGTGTAACCTCTGTACTTAAATCAGAGAAATTAATAAATAAAACTTGTATGATTGATTGTATGATCGATAATTATGAATTTGACACTGAAAAGTATATTAATCAAATTTCAGTTGAACACGATCATTCTTATATTGCAGCATTAATTTATAATATTATTAATTTAGATCAATATTCTATAGAAGTCATAAGTTACATAGCTGGATTTATTATAAGACATTTAATTAAATACATCATGTGTGATATTTGTGTTAATGCCTTAATAGTAAATCAAAGAAAATTATACAAATAAAAGATCGTGGAAGTTTAACATATCCTTCAGAAAGCGTGATAAAAATATGACTTGAAACAGAAAAGATTATCAGATTTGCTATAAAAGAAAATAATATAACTTCTAGTTCAAAATATTCCGTTCTTTATATTACACAAAATGTACTTTTAACTTTAAATATGATTAATATATTTGAAGAATTGATAACACATTCATATGATCTTTTTAACATGTCATAGAATAAATTTAATTAAAAGTATTATAATAAAATATGTACACACAAGTTTTTTTTTATTGTAAAACAGAATAATAAGAATATTAATGTAAGCAAAAGACATTTTTATAATAAATTAATATTATTTGCAAAACAGTAAATTATGTTTATAAGTTATTTTTTTTATTTACTTATTTATTTACCTATATTTATTAAATGTTATAAATATCTATAATATAATATCTATAATTGTAAGATATCGGCAGCGCGAGGGCACCACCCGTCGGGTGACATAAGTTATTAGCCGCGCGCTCTAGCGAGCAGCCGAATTCCAGCCAATCGGC